ATCATCATCATCATCATCATCATTATTATTAATATCATTATTAAAATTATCGTATTGTTCATTATTTGGATATACAACTGATAAATTTGATAGTGTTATGAATAAGATAGTGTTAACAAATTGTAATGTTATGGATATTCTCTAGCATTCCAAAGTAAGCGATTAAACACTATCTCATCAATGGTATTACTTGAAAAACATTGCTTTTCCAAGGTTGCTGCTCTAATATTGAGATGTTCGTTTGATGTTTTATTAGTGTTGAAGTGTGAATAATTCGGTGAGTAGATTTTTGTCGTTTTTAAATGTGAAGGAACATCTTAAAAGGGTTGCAGATTATCAAACAGAATAATGCACCGTTAAAAGAGAACACTTTCTAAAAAGAGATATGTCTGTATATCAAAAATCATAACTATTCAATCAATCAATCAATCATCACTGCAGCAATGTGTTAAAACAATGCGATAAAAATGGAGCATATTGGCACAAATACGTTTATGTTTAATAAAAGTAGTTTATATACGAGGCATTAAACGATATGTGTGTAGATTATCTTTCTCTAAAAATATATACGGACATATCCAAATAGCCATCAAACAAAATAACCTAATCGATATAGACTGACTGAATAACAAGGCAAACTGCCTCTTATAGAAAGAAAGGCAAATAACTAGCAGATATAAGAAGGAAACAACGAACAGCAATCAACGTTCACAGCATACATCAACATCGAAACACCAAATGTCACACAATAGCAACATGGTTTCATATCGATTTTTATATAGTTTCATTTTTGTTTTACTGTCATTCAGTTATCAAAGGCATAACCAAGGAGGGGGCATTGGAGGCAGCCCCCCCCCCCCCTTAGATGGTGGAAGAAAAGGAAAGTGAAAAAGGAAAGAGGTATGGGAGAAGAGAAATGAACTTATCCAACCCAGAATTCAGTTTTTTTCTTAAAATACATTCCACTAATTCCACAATTACTTCATAACGTAAGCCTGAGCCTTAATTTTAGCCTAACCTATAAACTGCCTCATTTAAAAGTAAGAAGGTCGATTTTGTGGATTAACCCTGGCGTTCTCCAGTTTGAATACATTTTGGACTCTGTTGCCAGTCGCGTTTCACGAGGTCAGACCATTTTTCGTTCTCGTCTGAAAAAATTCTGATTTTGTCACTGTCAGTTATCATCAGTGCAGCTTACAGCTGATAAGTAGTGCACTAAAAATCAGAATATTACCTTATCATACACGCTCAAGTACCATCAGCAAGAGAAAAAATGATAAGTTTCACAATTCTTTAATGGTAGTTTTAAAAATGACCAGATCCAGTGCTTACAAACGCCATCAGGAGGAAAATTTCATTTCGTTAGATCATGCGTAATAACCGAACATTTAATATTCGATGAGGATACCGTACAAATGAGTTACGTTCGCTCGTCAGGTACGTTAACATTGACAACAACACAGTCTCCAAGGAATAATTTAGAACTAATTTAGCTCTTTCTTCGGACTGAGTGTTTTTTTAATCTGTTTTTTAACTGTGTCAAAACATTACAAAAAGAAATTGATCAGAAGACATTTGACTGGTATCAATATTTTTCAGTGTTTAGCGATGCTCATTACTTGTTTTCCTACTCATCATCAGCATTTCATTTCGAATACTGCAACTGAACAAAAATCAGTTTAAATGATGTAGATGAACGAGTGTTAGCGTTTGCAATTTGAATACTGTGTGAGCGGCAACGGAAGAAACTTCGATTGTCAGAAAAAACGTTTGATACGTCATTTTAAAATATTGAAATAGAATGCAAGCGCAGCTGTTCTTATCGTTCTCGTTTGTCTTATCAATCCATTCAATCAATAAAATTTAATGAAGGCGAAAAATTCTCGCTACAGATCAGAGTATTTTCGACGTAGATAACAAATATTCTTGTATGTGCAGACGACAATTATTGCTCTTTCGGATACTTCTCATTATAGATAAAAGACTCGCGTTTGCAGTAACGTACTTGTGGGTAATAAATCAAGCAGTTTTTAAACTTGAATAAAACCACCACGATGTCATTTTACCCGTATGAAGAGTAACATGTTCTCACGCAAAAGTTACCATTTTTGGGTTTTTTTTTTCGGAAAAAAAATAGTTGCCCTAATTTATGTTTCCAACTGTAGGAACAATAGCGCACTTATCAGATAATATCTCGGTTGTTCACTCGTTCATTTCAACAATTTTCTGGGCGCTTATAACAGCTCATGAAAGTAATTTTGGAACAGCAATTCATTGCTTGATATACCTTGTGCCATTTACTACCCATATCAATAAATTTTGACGTACGATATTCCAATTTTTTCCTCAAAATATTAACGAAATTAAAACAAATAGAAGATCTTTTGTTAACTTCGACCTTTTGACTGATGGAACGATAGGTTGTGATTGGTATTGTTAACGTTCAATATCCACTTCGTCAATGATTTCGACTTCGTTTCAGTAACCACACACTTCAGTAAACTCATGTCAGCGATGATCTGATATGATACATTTTTATGTTCGTATCGTTAGGAATTTTACCTCGACAGATTCATGGCCAAGGCAGTGACTGTAGTACGGACAAATTCGATGAAGGCTTGAAAGTATAGACACGAAACGAGTTTCGCATCCATCTGAACATGATACCGTTTACCAGCACTTTTTCCTTCACAATAATATAAGGCAATAAACGGACGCAATCACTATTTTTAAAACTAATAATATAAATATCAGTAGGAAATAAGCAGTAAGCAAAACTAGAGTTCCCGCTCACGGGGGGAAAGTTTTGTTCGAGACCGACTGGTGATGAAACTGGAGCATATTTTTGAGCTAGAAACATGAACTTTTTGGTCGTAGGAGTAACAGCTTTACAAGTTGTTGAACTGAAGGTTGGGTGTCAGGAAATACGAGTACGAGAACTATCAGCTAATCGACGGCTGTCATAACTCGGTGAAAACAGTCACGGATCGGTGGACTAAAACTAATCAGACTCTTTAAGGCGTGTGATTTGAGTCAGATGGAAACACGATTCCGAAAATGCAGCAAAAAAACTGCACTGAATTGCAGCATTTCCTTGACAGGAAGAGTCTGATAATATAGCGTTTCATTAACACAGCGACGGATGGCCTGAAGGATTCTTGGATAACTGCAAGTGCCGAATACTTATTGCAAATATTCAAAAGTACAATGATTTTTTAAGCTTGTATTATCGAGCTTTTCTTATTTTCGATTCCTGACTCATATGATCACATCAAAATGGCCAAATTCATTCACTTGTTGACCTCACCACCATTCTTTTCTACAGCAAAGTTTTACAACAGAGACACAAGACATTTTTACCAGAGACCTTATTTCCTTTAGACGTCCGTAATTATGTCCTCCATTCGCGACACTGCGCTGGTCATATTGGCTTTCAGGCAAGTCTGAAAGTCTTTCAGGCACGTTCGAGGCAAAATTTAGAAAGCAATGAACAGAAATTTCTCAATGTCATCAGTCTTCCGTCATCAACTTTACTTTGTCTTCTGTGTATGATCGTTCTCCAATCTCGGAATTCAAAAATGATCCCAACATTGAAAAATAGTCGGAAATTTCCGAAAACCAATCCAAATCTGTTTTAGGCGTTCCGAATGATGCATATTAACAAATGTGTGACTTAATTTAATTCCGAACAAACCAAGTCAATTTCGCTGATTTGGGTAGTTACGACAACTAATAACAGCGCTCTGAAAATGAACCATATGAAATTCATTGCAGTGCATAACCGATGACAGGATTCGACTGATTATAAGTTTTTAGTTGAAAACGGACTGAAACTGAAAACGCTATGATGGGAAATCGTCTTTCGCTCACTAAAAAAACCGAAAAAAAAAATGAAAGAAACCTTTTGTAGAGAAAACATATTACAAAAATGGATGATACTCCTAATTGCCAAGGAGAAAGGCATTTTTTAAGATGGAAGGATAGGACTGAATGTACAGAAAAATTACTCACAGAATTGATTCTGGTAGATTCATAACATAAGTTTTTGTTGTTTGAGTGGATAGGATAGGCCTTTATTTGTTTTTGTGACTGTTTTGTGGAGTGATTAATTTCAACTTTTAGAACAATTCAATGGATTTCTCTCTTGCATTATTGTGATTTTTACGATTCAGTCATCCAAAACTGAGATTCAGATTTTGAAAATTCGACGTAAAACAGCATTTACGTCCCTTCAAAATGCCATCAGAATATCCAGTTATTCCTCTGATTAGTCGTTGAGCGAATCTACTCAGAAGATGATTAAACGATGTCCGAGCACGTTCCATCGTACCTACATATCCTTCCGTGAAATCGTTTGTTCGTAAACTATGTCAATCAAATTTTAAAAAAACCAATTTCAACGCATTTATGACATCCTTTACGATAAACAAGTCGTTTTTTTTTTCTCCCAAACAAACTTTTATTTAATCATTGGAGTTTTTTATTCATATCAATTATTACATTTTCTAGAAGACGCATGGGAACAAAAAAAAACAAATGTGGCAAAAATAATAATGATAATTACACAGTGTAAAAAGAAGATACATGCAACATTTTAAAAATGCATAGCAGATATGTGAAAGCAAACCGAAATAAATAATAACTCGTATCATCCAATTCCGAAAATAAAGCGACTTGAATAGAAAGTGAATACTGAAATGTGAAATTAAAATCTTAGGCAATTTCTTCAACTCAACTGCAATAGAAGATTATTGTAACAATGCGCGTCTAAAAAATCACAGTTAAAAAAATACCTATACGATATCGCACAAAGTTGGAAAACTATTACAAAAAATTATTCCATTAATTCATCCTTTTTTTATATGCAAATTGACTTTCATAATAGAAGAACACCATTTCAATTTTTGAGCGTTCCAATTATTTCAAAACAAGAATTTTACAAAAGAAATTTTCGAAAGAAATCATCAATCATCAAATACAAACAGAATTAATTTACTGTTGTTATAGAAGAGAAGTGTTGTTGACGTACCGTAATCTCAGTTCATACAGCACGTATCTATCACATAACCATTCAGATTAACGGTGGCGGAGGCCTTCGTGGTGGAAGCGGAGGTGGTGCAATAGCACAATCAGATGGCCTACAACTTGTCACTTGAATATAAAAGTGCGTTAAAATGTGACTAATCCATTCAAGTCAACATTCAGCAGTATGAAAAAATAACGCTTCAGTTTGTAAGCTGCGAAGAAATTTTGATTATAAGTTAGCAATTATGTAACCTTCTCGACGCTTGCGTGGAAGGCGCTCGAAGAGTTGCATCATTTATAGCACACGAAGACAATGACAGTGGGGTCTGAAGGGAACATTCGGCAGCACGTGACAGATCAGTAATAGATCGCAGAGTTGAGGAAGCAGTTTCTGTCATTGACATACTATCCAAACTTCGATCAGACGATGACGAGATGCGTTTCGGTAAAAAACTGCAACCAATTATTGTTTTATAAAGCTTTACATCAAATTCCAATAATAGTTCACTTACCCTCATACAATACCGCATAAAACAAACGAGTGCAACATTTTTTCCTCTCACTAAAATAATGTCGTCGAGCAAAGCACTTGAAAATTAACGAAACAACAGCAACAAAAATTCTTCAATCAAGCTGACCCATTCTCCAGGTTGATTTTGCTGTCCGAACGCATACCAACCGATTTGCGTGGAGTGCTTCGACCACTTTTGGTCGCATATAAGCCTCCGCCTCTTCGAAAAACACCCGTAATGCTCATTACAGATGGACTCCTGAAGCGAATAACCAACAGTAATTTCCTACACCAAGTTATGCTCTTTTAATATTTTCATTTTGTTCCAAATTAATTGATTGCAAACACTCTTTTCGGTTGATTTAAGAAACCTTTCGAACCGATAACATTTAATAAAAATTACTCACAATCAGTAACGAAAGAACATTGCCAAAAATAAAACTGAGAAAATAAAATGTTCTGCGAAAAATCTTTGTATCACATACATACATGAAAGATCAAGAAATACGTTTCAAGTCAAGACTTGAAACTGAACAAAATTATTTGGAAGTTTCGAAAAGCAAACAACATTAAAAATGTCCTTTGCACTCACGTTAACGTATCAAAACCGCTACGAACACGCTCCTCCGGTGCCTTTGCGTGATTCACAAGATGAATAGTGTATGATGGTGGAAGTCTTGAAGGCTGAAAAAACTCACATTTCAATACGAAATTTTTTAGCGTCTGCGGTATCAAAATGATAGATGCAATATATAGATGTGATATCGACCATAATTCTGAGAAAAATATTCACAAAATAACATTTCTGTGTGAATTTCTGAGATGCTCGAATGGACGTAAAGAACGAACACGACTAGAGGCTTACAATTTTGCCGAAACGAGCCTCAACACTGTGCTTGTATTCTTTGAATGAATCGACCAACGATTCGTGGAAATTAGCATCCACTTGATGACCTCTCGATGCATGCACATACAGACAGTACTCGAGAATCGGTATCTCAAACATACTGTAGTTTTCTCCCCGAACAGGATTTTAACAGCAAAAAACAATAATAACAATAACAACAATAAATTTTTGGTATAATGTGGCTGGATGCATAGCCAGTCACTGATTCCTATTAATTTTTAAACGATTTTTTTTCCAAAAATCTTAATCAAATTACCAACTGCATCAATAATTTGCAAATATTATATAATCTCATCACTAACGTTACAAAACTGTCGTTTATTTATTAACCAGACTTAACAGTGATATGAATCAATATGTAATTAGTGAGATAATGATACTACCATCATCAGAATGGACATTTTTCATTTTCTCATTACGCTATACAATTTGTTTTACAAGGCAATGTCGAGAGGATTTCTTTGAAATTTTTCAAAACAATAAATATGCTTCAATTAACAAATAATGCTGCGAATCTAATTCTGATTGCCACGAGGTGTATGGAAAGAAAAAAAGTTTTTTTAAAGAAATTGACCTGTTCTTTGATGAGAGTTTTCAGCTGTCGAACCAATTCTTTTTCATCATCTGTTAAAACGGCACTACATTCGTCAGTAAAGAATATCTAAACACATAAGAGTCATTTCAGTTATAAATCGTAATCGTTATAAGATGAATTGTGATTTGGAGAAATATTGCGACATTTTCCACTCGTAATCATACCAAACATTGCAATCAGTTTTTGCACGACTGAATAAACTCTTTTCTTCAGTCACTTTTTCCCTAGTCGATACCAAGAATACGAATTCCATGATGCAAACCTGTTATACAATTCGAACTGAGGCATTCCCGAAAAAGATACTGACTTAAAAACGCTCACCAAATACACGAAAACAAATTGGAAATTCATGCAGTTTCGCATAGTAAACAGGTTCGAGCTAAATATTTGGGTAGGTAGAGAGAAACAATTTTGCATCTCTTTCTAAAATTTACGTCCGACAATTGTGCCAGCATATCTCCAGAGATTTCGGTTCTAAAATATTCCGGAAAATGGAATCTTACTGTAGAATAAAGCAAAAAGAAATGCAAAGAAACACCTACATTGTAGTTTTTGATACCACCCTGTACAAATGCTTGAACAATACCACGAATTTTACCACCTAAAGGAACGACCGATTCGAGTGGAGTTGACAGAACGACGTTTGCCATCTCCTCCATCTCAGCGTTGTTTTTGCGCATTGTTGAAACAGCTTCCATAAGAGGTGAACATTCAATCTGAATTACGTGATCAAACAATAATTTATTAAGGAAACATTTGTTTTTCAATCCGAAAATTCAACTGCTCGAAGTAGGAAGAATGACGACCAAAGATATTCGTAAGTTAATCTTCAGTCAATCAATCATTATGAAGCGTGTCAGATAATTTTAAAAAATGTTGCACACAACATACAGGACTGGAATGTGAGACGATCTGAGACCACTTAAGAATATTTGGGAGTGGTTCTTTGGTTTCAACAAAACGACGTGTTACCCACGATCGCATTATTTCACTGTCCTCTAACTTCGTCCACTTTGTCCCCTTCCGGAACTCTCCACGACAGTACTCAAACTTTTGCACCTGAAATGATCAAATCAACGATTCAATAAGAAAGATGAATATAAAATATTGCATTTTGACTTAACATCATCGGTTCCTCTAACACTCCTCAGATGAAATGTTATGCTGATGTGAGAAAGCTGTAAATAAATTTGGACGTGAAACGAATAACAAACATGAATAATTGACTAATATACAAAAAGGCAGCAACCTAATCGAACGAATTCAATCGAATATGAAATAACTTAAGGGCTAATTTTTCGATGATCATTAAAGGATTAGATACTAGTAATAGAAAATGAATTAAACAGTCACATCAAATAAATGGAACATAAATACGAATAACTGATGAATACTACTTACTCGATTGTTCTTATAGTACCACCTAATAAGGCGATTGACATTCTTCTTTTCAATGAAGAAATCACTAATCGGTTGGACGGAGAATATTTGAAGATGTTTACCATTGGTTGTCGTTAAATGTGTGCAATCATCGAGGGATGTAACCAGTTCAGATTCAGGAAACGTGGACAATAAACGATGTTGAAATGTGGATATTGACTGAAATTATTGCACAAAGTAATATTTACACAAGCAAGACAAACGCATATCTCGAATCATTCTTTGAAGTTGTTCTTCTTTGGTTATTTTTTTCAACCTATTCTTATTTCTAAGCACATTCTAGCTCAAAATGTACTTATCAAATTAACTCAACTCCAGATGATTACCAAGAGCATTCAATACCGATCCAAAGTTCATATGCGCCCAACATAGTACTTTCAAATCCAGTATCCAGAAGTTAAAAAAAAACACAAAATTGTACAAGAATATCAACGTAGCATCGCGGTGTAGTGACTGCACAATACAAGTTCATACCTCGCACTCATTACCACGATAGATCAGTTGCTGCCCATTGAGATAGCTTGGAAATCCCGTGCCAAAGAACGCTACGAGATAATACGTGCATCCAACACGTCCCTGAGTGCTGACTTTGTGGTACAGTTCTGCTAAGCGACGCTGTAAACATTCATATTATCAGCATTACGAATGTTGATTGATTCACTTGAATGATATTATGAAGAACAAACAATGAATATCATCTGAAAACGACGAAAATAAGCGGCACACTGTGCGAAATGCTGATTCTATTGTAGCTTCACAGGGATGACTTTCATTAAAATATTTCAAGGATAAAGCAAGAGAAATCAACAACAAGAGGATTGTTCCTGGATGATCGTAAAGGCATAAGTAGATTAGAATTGAGCAACAATCTGAACAAGAGCAAAGCGAATTAAGGGTAGTTTATAACGGATGTATATGAATGCATACCAACAAAGGTGGTAGCTTCTCGAATTCGTAACATTTTTCATATTCAGGAACCAACTGTTTGAGAATTGTAATGGCCTCTTCCCACATATCCTTTTCGTCGAACAAATCAGCCATCTCAACATACAACGCTTCTTTGAGTTGTCTTTGTGTTGCACAATGTCTATTCAAATGAGCATCCAAAAGTGCTATCGGTAATTCATCGTCAGTCCACTAAAACTTGAACTTTAATGCTAAAAGCAATGACCAAATCGTTGCTCAATCAGTCGCATCTACATGTTGAATATTACAGTTTGATTTTCATTAGAATACACACATTTCCAAAGTATAACTAATTTTCGATGCAATGAGACATACAAGGACATTCCTAGGCTTAAAAAGAGTGCAGTGACGACCTCAAAAATTTTTTCCCTAGTAATCGGTTAATTGAGAAAAAAATGTTAGAAATGAGATGAGAAAAACTGGAAAAATTCATTTTTGGGAAGTTAATTAGCCAACCTTGAGCGTTTCAGCGTGTTTTAACAATGTAAAAGCTGCCTCAACTTTATTACTGCTTAGCATATGCAAATCATAAAGTTTATACACATAGTTAATATACAAATCCGGCTGACCAATTTTGTCGTAATATCTCTGAAAATAATCACTCAGAAAGGAATTCGATACTAACTTTTTAAGTGAATCTGAGTTTTCAAAGCTAAACTAACGGCATCAAACAACTTTTTTAAAAACAGAATGGCGAAAAAAGGAAGCGGTTGGGGTTGAGAAAAGATGAACTGAGACTGGATATTCAAATAAATGAGGAATACGTAAATCAAAGAACACAAACCAATAATTCAACTGTTCTATCCATTCCATTTTCAATGCAATAACCATTGGTTCGCACTTCACGATACTCGAACAGATGCCGTAAAAGCGTATCAATCATCGCAACAAATGTACATCCCAACTGTTTGAGATCAGATTTCGAGCGGCATCTATAACTGACTTTTGATTCGAACGAGAAAATATTTCATCAAAACCATCAGTATGCAAAACGTGTCCACTTTTGGCGTACCGAACATTCGAAAACAGAATACAAATCTACAACAAAACTGAAAAGACTAAAACTCTACTCACCGATCCATCATAATGCGATGCAATTGTTCTTTGAACTGTTGACCACCGCGGTCTTCATCCACCAGACAATCCAATTGCAGGATCATTTCATTAGCGAACTAAATCTAGGGTATTTGTAAAACGTTTTGAAACGCTTCATTTCGATACTAAGTCTTGCTGTTATGAAATGGGCTTTTTGTTTCTTACCTGAGTTACATACTATCATGCGAAAATTAGAAAAAAGATAGCAGAACCATTCCTTTAGACAGACATCAGACGAAAGCACTGAGTTTCAAGAAGCGTTTTTCGTTCATTATATGCAAGAGAAAAGCATCCTAGCGATTTTGCGAGGAGATTTTAGTCACAAAAGGAAAAAATATACAAACACTAGTAAAAATAAGATAAGACCACTTCGAAGTCAATAAAACGACGATGTATAACAAACAAAAGGAAGTGAAGAACTGAAAAGAAGCAAAAATTGCACGGCGAAAGGAGACGAACCCTTGAAATATCACGAGAAGGACTCGAATAGAACTCGCATTCGAGCATATCGAAGAAGATCGGAATCACGGTTTCACGTACTTCATCGTCGTCTATCAGTGCTACTTGAAGGAATGAACCAACCATCGAAGGAATGTACCGATTTCGACTGAGCACTGCAATCTTGATGTTACCTTCTTCTTTCACTATTAACATCATCGTTATGTTAATTTGAAGTATTATTGATGATATAAACATTATTATTTTCACTTGTTTTTATAATTGTACGCAGTCCATTTGAACAGCTCAAATGCTTTTGATGTGATATGCAAAAGTACCAATAAATGCAAAGATAACAACCTGGAAGTCGGAACCAGACCGAGCGCAAATCAGCGGCTGCAATCCTTCTGAGATCTGGCTGAGATGCAAGTAATCGAGATCGCCTTGCACTGATTGCTGGGGAACCAATTTGCAGACCCTTCTGCGTGCTGAACGCTACCATAGTCAGAATATATTCACGCCACAGCTACAATTTATATAATCAACTTATTTCATTGCAGTGATAAAACTGTACTCCATATACTTAAGCATCCATATTCTTCTGCTGAATTATGAAAGCATTTTGAGATAACGCGTTCACAGATCATTTAATGTTCATGAGAAATGACAAGAACTGGATAATTACTAAACAAGTAAAAGCACTCACATCACTATCGAACGAGTCCGCATCAAAATACTCGATCATTGTCGACATTACGAATTTCATCGTTTTGAGAATCATTCTGGAACTTTAAACCATTAAACCCACGAATATCCTCTCAACGGAATACTTCTGAGTGCATGCTAGACAACACTGAATATCATGTACCTTTTCATGACCATGTTATCGAATACGCATATCGAGTAAAAAAGGAATAGCAGATTACTAAAAGCGGTGACGCACTCATTGAAATGAGAAAAAAAAACGGAAAACACACTCCAATACGATGATGCGATAATGCTAAGAGAATAACCACAACTAAACACTCACTTATTCTGCAAGCAGATCATATGGAACCAGGATGAATCGAAGGCTGATTTATTGATAAGATCTCGGAATAAGTGAACCATTTCCATGAGCAAATCTTGTTTGTCGATACGCGTTGCATGCATATTCAGATACGCCTTATAGATCTGCGATGACATCTTGCTCAATAGTGCTATTGTCAGAGCACAAAACGCTGACTGAAATTGAAATTCTTAATGAGATGATAGCAAACAGAATAATGTGCACTACGCAGTATACTGCGAGAAATGTTCCTTATAACGTTAATATGTTGAAGATTAAATTTTAAAATGTTGAAGAGATGTCATCTTCAAATATATTCACTTTTTTTGAAGTATTAAGCAAACAATACAATCGGCTGAAAGATGATTAAGATTCGAAATAAAAGATAACAAGGATTAGAAAAAAATTGATAGGTCGAATAATAATATCATACTCGAAGAGAATGTGGAAAAAAACTTTTTTTGGAAGGTTGGGGATAGGGAAGAGACAAAATAAAACCTTACAACAGGCAGTTTTTCATTCATCAGAGATATAGTTGTTTGCAGTATGGTTCTGAATGTCATTGAAATGACAATTTGCAACTCTTCTTCTGTGCCACATTCACTTTCTGATCCCTTAAGTAACTCAAATTACGATATGAAGATAAGTTGGTTAAAGATTCACACTGCAAACTAATTACAATAGCACCATCATATGTAAATATAACGTTTTCTGCGATATTCATTTATGAATGTCTTGAAGATTCGGTTTTACTCAAATGCTCAGAAAATGAAACATACCTTGGTTGGAAACAGTTAAAACAGTCAAATACAGCTATTTCACTGTTCGAAACAGCGAATATATTCGCCGATTCCAAAATCAGTTTTTTTTTTAAATTACAGCAAAGACGTTGTGCTAACGAAACACAAGGCTGAGAATGAAAGAATAAGGAAACAATATGCGAAGAACAGTTCAGAGTTTAAAAATTCAGATAAACGAACGAGACTGCTTGAAAAGAGTGTCTCATGAATGTCGAATATAATATCTGCACTTGCAGAAACACATTCTAACACTTTAGCTCGATCCGCACCAACCGACGTAACATTTCTGAAGTCAATTCCTTCCAATTCAGTCACCACCTTTTCCAGCACCTTAACACGTTTCATTTCAATTTTATAATATAAAGCTAATTCAGAATATTCGATTCCTTAACCGAATAAACATGAAGCTGAATTTTCTTGTCATTTATGATGAAACAATGAACGCGAATATCCTTCTTGAATGAACCTTTGGAAGCAGTTTATCACGGTTGGACTTACGACGAAAATAGTCGGTTTGAACAATATCTTTAATGAAATTGAGGCGACACCGAGGACTGATATTATCACCCAAATGATCCATCAGTTCAACCAAAAAATCACTGAAAAAACTTTTGTTCACCACCAAACATTAGTTGTCAAAAATATAGTAGGTTAGCGAACATAGAACAAATTCTAAAACATCATATCAAATAAATGCAATCGGAATGAAAAGGTTATTAACGTCACTCCAAATGATACTGTTAGGTAACTATTTGTCTTCTACATCTCATTACGGAAAACTGCTTTTGTTTGTATAAGAGAAACAATCTCTTCTATTTTGAGGAATATACAGAAAATCGAAACTGTTCATATCAGCAATTGAATAGCATGGATTATGCACTAAAACTGTCTCACGTTAGATGATTGAGGTCGAAGATATCCGGAGAGGATAGATGTGGAATGATAGATGGCAGATGCTTCAGAGCAGTATTCTGACATGTCATCCGGACTCGTTTGTTTTGCATGAATAACACGAAAGCATTAAAAACATCATCCATAAGTTGTGTGAAATTACTCGACGTCAGTCGAAGTCTGAAATTGACATAATTATAGTACAGTTGCAGGTTATTAGTACAATATAATATAATATAGTAAGGCTCTCATGAAAGTAATGGGAAGTTGGAGTTAGACGGAAATAAGTGCAATCCATCGAAATTTTCGAATACGTGAGCACGGGCAAATGATAGAGCTAAAAAAGATAGCAACACTCAAAGCCCATTTATAAATATTGACTGCGAATCAAGTCATGAGAAGCATACCGATCACTGCATTGTTTTGATTTAACGATCATTTGTACAAGGATGCCAAGAGCTTTCATAGCGCTCAACGTTGATTCGTGAGTATCTTCGGCCTTTTCAACTCGTTTTTTCAAGACTGGAATTAATTTGCTGAAAAGAAAAACGCAAACATCAATCGTAAATCAATTTCAACTTGCGTATTCAAACGATTCACATTTTCATCATAGCAAAATCTCATTGTTCAATATGACTCTGAACGCAGTACAATCCGAGGACAGAATAGAATAGAAACCTATTAACCACAACTAAAAACTTTACAACCAAATTCCAATTGCATAACAGCTGCATAAACAATCATCTTGGTCACTATTGAACTTAAGATTCCAATGAAACAAGAATAAAGTGAGAATAGTTCATTCGCATCGAAACGTTTCAATAGAACATACACAAAAGCAACTGTCGAGTGGAAGTTTTTGATATATTTTTGCAAGACTGGTTGAAAATTTTTATAGCGTTCCTCATTGACCAACTGAATGACGGATACCTAAAACAGCACCGACGTATGTACTAAAACAGTAATCACAAGTGGCGGGAGGGGAAAACGAGATGGAGACAATACAGAATACATTATTGAAACAGCTACTGAGGTGAAGATAAGCAGAATGAAATGTGAAAATTGAAATAAGTGGCACCACTAAGCATACCAAAGCATCGAAAACAAGGTCATCGTAATCGGGATGATGGTCGATTATTTCGAAAAGCGCATCACAAAAGTTCGGAATGAATTTCACGAGCTCTTCACCAAGCGTTACGCCTTTCGGTTTTGAAATCTCTTGCAATCGCTCCTTCAGATTGCCTCTAAAATGTGAAATAGGCCAATATAAGGAGAATTTTGAGGGTCACAATTGATTGGTTAAACAAATTTTTGACTGAGAACGAAGTGGTTCTTCTTGCTTACGACTGACAGAAGCTGTCGTAGATGGAAGTTTTGTTCTGTTGCATTTTAAATTTACTTGTCAAAATAACTGATGAGGAAAGTAGTTGAAATGAACACCAACCTGTTCGTTTTCCATTTCAGAATATCAAGTAGGTTTTTGTTATGAGTGAGCGTTGTTGAGCACGTTACCGTATAAATGTACAGAAAATTTTTTTCGCCACAAATAAACGAACTCGTTTGCGGACGCAACTGAGACTGTGAGGCTTTGAGTTCGGTACGTGTTGCTGGCAGTCGAGAATAGCTCGTATCGTTTTCGTCGAATTTACCCGATTCAATCTACAAACTCAGTTGCAATTAGCAATCACTTACGGAAATGACAGCCGTTTATTTCTACATCCGGATAATGTTTACGTTTGAAGCATATCTCATTGACGACTTATGCAAGATGAAAATAATCATTTCATGATGATGCATCAAAAAAATCGAGAAATAGTAGATGAGTGTCTGCATAAGGATGAATAATTAGCAAATAAATAAACCTTATAAATGAGCAATTCGTGCATATCATCCTTGATGAGCGTTGCACCTTCCATGATGCGTGCAAACGCGAGTGCAAATGGACCCTTCTCCTGCTTGCCTTTTTCATAGCACTTCTTGTGATGAAACGTAATACGCAAATGCATGTTCTGATCCGTATCTTCAGGAATTTGTATCTACACACAAACGTTAATCAAAAATATACCACAAACACACCAAGATCAAGTATACGAAGAACGAAAGAAATTCAACTGCTAACGAACTAACTTTGATAGTTTCATTCCATTTCGGTTTATCGTCGTGATATAATACCAGACTGTGATATGTGGTTTTCCTTTCTGAACCTTCGGCTGTCATTATTTCAACACTCTGAAGTTTTAATCAATATCGTTTGAACTGATCCTTCCAACAAATACCCTTCTTTTCTGCATCTTTGATTCAAAGAGATAGTCGATTTCAAAACTCTCCGAAGAATTACGAAAAAAATATTTCCTCTTATATCGCAACGGCTAACCATGAAAATGAGAAATTACTGTTCTTTTATATCAAAGAAATATACTTTCCGGTTCCACGAGGAAATAGTCTTCACTGAAACCTCAAAAATTCAAAATCTGCTCGCTCACAATAGAAGAATACGTTATTAAGACGAATATTGCAAATTTAGCCACTGGCTCTGAACAATTTTTAATCGACTGTCGAACTGGACTGAGAACGCAGACGAGTCGCCCACTCACAAGTGCACAAGCAGAAATGTGAGAACGGGCGAGCCAAAAATTATAGACACTATCGCCATAAAATATCATCACAGCTTTCTGCGCTTTTATTGTCGTATTCCGTATTCATGCACGTTTTCACGAGAAAGTTGGACCTGATCAAGCCATATACTAAAACCTTCGCCAACAGTTCGCACACAACAGCAGTACAGAGAAAGTGGTGTGATTTATCGACTCAAAAGATACTGGAATTCACTGCGGGCTTTCAACACAATAAGGAATCGTTGCTCTACTGCATACAAGTGTCCATAGTTATATACACAGTGCTCGGACAATTCTAACTGAACTTTGTGTTCTCTTGGTGCACAATGTCAGAGTGGAACGATAAGGTTTGAACTAGATAAACAACCAGGAAAATGAATTGAACAAGCTCAAATTTTGAGTGGTCGTGTGCAAAAATAAGATTGAGAAAACAGCCCATGAACGTGAAAGATAGCGGGACAAACCTAAAGGTGTTTCACGGTGGCAACATGCATCAGTAGTTCTTTCTCGGGAAAGGCTAGCGAAGTGGCCTAGATTAAATTGCAGCAGCAAAGACAGTGACTCAGTCAAATTCATGCTTTCAACAAGAAAATGAACTACAAATTTGGAAGCGTTTATCAAACCTGAATGTATTTCACGGTGGAAGTACATTTCATTTTCCACTCACCTATGTGTATTTGATGACTGAAACTCTATGTGATGATGACTATACAATCGTGTAATTACTAGGCACCATTAATGCAACGAAAATTTTAGTAACCACACTTTTGCGGATTACATTCACACTTCATGATGATAAGGTAGAAGTGCCGTTATGGAATCATTTATCAATATTCAATTCAGAATGTATCTTCTTTCTTTTGCCGGGAAAATAAGTCGACAAATGAAAACTTACGTCTTTGATGACACCGTTTGTATCGACAATACACACACGCGCTTCGATGTTTCTATCTGAACCTTTACTACCATGCAGATCTCCTTGTACTAAAGTCACATAGAGATCATTACGTGTTTCATCTGCAAAAAAACCAACGTTATAGCACCATGCCTACTCACTTTCGTTTTTCATAAAAGTCCTCAATTAATCAACAATAAGATGCTTCGAGGCGTTAAGATAACAACATCAATAAAGTGTACTGACGACACACTAACTTCTGATATAGCAATTATTTACCTGCAGAAATAACGTCTGCGAAAAACATTTTTCGCAATTCGACTGGCGGATTTACTGAGAAGATCTGAGGATTCGATTTTTTGATATGTTGCAAAGAACCGATCAGAATCTCTGTTGAGATCATCAACTGCGCGCGTCCATACCCTCAAAGATTCATTTCTGGCTTGGAGTCATGTGCTAAGCTTTAGATGAAAATAGTATGGAATAGTGGTAAAATAATATGATTTGCTGAAACAATTTTATTCACACATACTCATAAGTGATCCCTCTCACTCATAAAAATTAACGTGTCACTCGATATGTCACTCATATTCAATTTTTATGAATGTCGAAACGAACCTGAAATACCATCAATATTCATTGATTTAATTGAACCGCTACCGCGAGCTGAATTCGCCTTTGCGATCAACTGTTCAAGAGTATCTTCCCTGGAAAACTTGGAGTTCAAGAATAACAACTAAAAATGCATTTAAAAAACGAACTGGACAATTAGATATGGTACTCGGTCAATCTGTCCAAAGACATTTAGCCCAACGACAGTTTGCCTACAGACACATTGCCTAACGGACACTTTGCCTGACGGACAGTTCGCCTATTAGGCGAAATATCCATTAAAAACCGTAAGTTAGGCAAAGTGTCCGTTCGGCAATGCGTCTTTAGGCAAACAATCGTTAGGCTAAATGTCTTTAGGCAGATTGACCGGTCACGATTAGATGTATGCAGACAAAGAAGAACATGAAGAGAATAGGATCACTTTAGAAATATTTACGCTTAAACAACTAACTAAATTCAACTAATGTGAGATACATCTTTTTACTTCTCGATGGTAAGAGTAGTAGTGGGAAATTAGTTGCGATAAACTCACCGATTCAGCGAGATGATGTGCTCCATCGGGCCGGGAGGAGCATTGAAGAGATCACTGAGATCAAGCAGTGCAACTGCGTATGGCTGACGACACCATAGCTGTGGTGGGCCTGGATCGATCTGTTTTTTCATTGTTGATGATGAGCCTTCAATTGGGGCTATTCGAGCCACTCGTATACATAACAGGATACGATTATCTTTAGCAGAAGGCGGATTTGAGGGATATTCTTTTGAACCAAGATCCTTAATCATACTTCTTGAAATCATTTATTACAACTCAGAAATGAAATCACTCATCCTTTTGTGTTCTTCTCGAATAGCATTACGAAGAAATACTAAGAATATTTGCAAACATCACATGAATACAAAGAAAAACTCGTATTTTTTCTAGGGAACTGAATAAGTGATATCTAAGGAACGAATTGATTCTATGGATGACGATTTTGTAACGGTTTAAACAAAAACATACATTGAAAAGCGCTCTACTATTTCGATTGGTGAGTGAGCCTTTTTTGAATGTCCAGTAGAAGATGAAGCTTTCTCTAAAAGCACAATCAAGAATGTGAAGCTTTCTCTTGAAGCAACAAAATGAACATCCCATCATTACAAAAACTCTCTAAGTAAACCTAAAAGTGAACCAAATATTGGGTTATTTGTCAAATAACTTGACATCAAATGATGTAACATGACTTTTCATGATGTAAATAATAAAGTCACACATCAAAGAATTTTCAGAACATTAACAATCGAAACTGTTCTTCAGGCAGAAATAAACAAAAACGAGATATTATCTATACTATAATTGCGTTCTGTCAAAATTACATCTGAACTGATCAACTACTCTGCATTTTCAGAATCACTAATAAGCATTACTTACTTCGCACTCGAATCGAATAGGCTAATTACAAAAGTCAAAAATCTAAATATTACATGAAGCAAGAATTGAATGCAGCAAAAAAACTGACGAAATGAATTTTTGCTCGGTCGCATCGTATAAACTCAATGAGAATTCACATTCAGCTTTACAATCGAGGGTTGCCGATTGCGCATGGACCAATAAGGAAAACGCGCTCACTGTATGCGTTTGATTAGGCTTCTACAAATATTCCAACATCTCAATACCATAGACTGATTATTTATTTTGTCAAGGCTTTGACGACAAACTCCCGATGAAAATGAACGATTTTCTCTTACAGATAACGCTAACGCAATCAATCATTAAACTTAGTTTCCATTCATTGAAGGGTTCGTTTGAAGCATCTCAACTGGTTCACTTTTCGCCAAGAATTATTTTCTTTCCCAATGCAAAACAACGTTAAAATCTGCGCAAAAGAATTCTCATGTAGATGGAAAACACATCTATATATTGAAGGGAAATATTCATATTGCTCCTAATCATTGAAACCTTGATTCCAACCGATCTCCCTCGCCCTTTCCCTAGCATCATTAAAAAACCGTTCAAATAACCTTATCAGATGAATCAGCAAAGATTTCGCACGAATGAAATAATGAATCTTTTTTCAAATTCATTAACTGAGTTGAAAGGAATAAAATCATACCGAATCACGAACAATTCTGTCAACAGCATTCAAATGTGCACGATATGCATGCACAACAGATGCAGAATCAACGTCTATTACTCGTCCACTCTCATCTCTAATTTGCATATCCAAACCCAACCATCTTCAATAAAAATGCATTTCGAATACGTGCTTCATATTTCCAGGGAGGTTTGATGATATTTATTCACATTTCATTGAAATATTACTCACAGCTAATTGAACGCATTAATAGATAGGCGCTAAAAGGAAATTCATAATCTAAGTTGTTCAGCGATTCAGCGATTTAAATTCTTAAACCTGTTTTTACTGATCTGTTTGCTCTTTCAATATGAAATATGTAGAGTTCAAAATTTGATAAACTCATAATGTAATGACCACTGACTGATTTCCAAGATCGATTTTCCGAGCCAACTGTAGTCGCATTTCTTTTAGTTCTTCAACAGGAACATTCCCGGTCAAAATTTTCTTGCGCATCGTCATCAAATCCTCCATATATAACAAGATGTCATCTTGACTTTTCATCTCTGCTTGCCTTCCGTATGTTTCCTTCGAACAAAAATAGATGCTTAGACATTAATAAAATTACAATCAACCATTGATTCCTGTTCCTTTTTCAATTATCAGCATTGAATTCCGTTCGCTATTTCATAGATTACCACCAATCCAATATTGATAAAACCTCTGATGACTCTGATCACGAAATGATGCTACATAAAATGCGATAAAACGAATGAAACGGTACACTTCAGAGCGGACGCTGGCTTTAAAGGATTCCGTCTCTCAAAGGAAAAACTGAAAACAAGTGAACGATTATGAGTCAATGAAAAACCTTGATAGCTGACCACCATTCGCTGAGCACATCTGTGAGTTCAGCAATTAACTCTTGCGCTTCACTGGATGATTTTGATGACGAGTGGTTGAGTGGAACAACCACCGCCTCAGGGAAAATACCAAATACGGTACGGTTATCACGACTGCTTCCATAACACCAGCCTGGATATACAAATTAATTTGGCTGAGCAACGTTTGAAGTTTTAGCAATTATTTATTTGCATTAGATCACTTCCATTACATTCCATATTCACGAACGGCAATTAAATAAGAGCTCACAATCAGGAATGCATAATACTAAATTAATTTTAAGGTGAAAATTAATGTTACCTTCACCGGAGTATAATATGCTGACACGTTCACCAATATGCAAAGGCAAGAACGCATAGCTCAATTGGTTTACATCTGACTGGGGTTGTGGCAAAAAGTTAGACTGAGCTGAAATTAAAAAAACAAAAACATTGATAAAGAATGCTAAAGAAATTCACTGAATCAGTTTTAAATTATGCGAATTGTTCAGAATAAAGGCTGTGGACCTCGTGGATACACACACTGTCGGATGGCCAGTTTGAAAAGTAACTGCGAAGAAAAACACAATTCCGATAATTCATTACTAATCAGGAATGCATAATACTAAATTAATTTTAAGGTGAAAATTAACGTGATAGTACTAAGAAGAATAGAGTAATTGACGATACAACGAAAACCAAAAGCAAAATGCTAACCAATTGCTTCACGGGCCATTACTGATTTGAGTTGTGAACGAAACGAATAATCATCATAACGCTCACCGTGCCCCATACAATTACTGCATACCGCTCCTCAAACGTTTCACGACGAAATTAACTTATTCTCACGATAATCGAACGCGTTTAAATCAGATGTTAACGTAACATTGGATTGGTCGCCAAAAAAGCAGCTCATGAAATGGCTTGAACTCATTATTAGGCTTCAGTTTCGCTCAAAATTATGTCCGGGAGAGAGCAACAACCCAAGCCTAAACGTGATTCAGAGTGCAACTACCAGTCATCGCATGCACTACCCATTCAATCACGCTGACTAACAACAGGTTAGTCTGCAAAGTGCTTGTATTCTTAACGAACTGACTCATAATAAGTATCCGATTGAATCAGTATTTCACTACAGGTTACTACTGCGTTGGCATACCAAGTATAATAAACGAATGAGTTGTCAGTAAAGCAGTAAATAACGAATTTAGCATTTCCCTATGGATCCCTACGTGTCTTACTCAAAAATAATGAAGCAAAATGACTTTAAAAGATGCCCGGAGCTGATCATTTGCATCAGATTCCGCCACAGGGTACAAGTGCATCCTTAGTGGGGAACAGTGAGGGTGCGCACGCGCGCAGTGGGCGTGGCTATCTTTTTCGGCTTTTATGATGCAATCATAAAAGCCGAAATATGGGGAGCCTCAGCACGACAGTGAAGTTAAGTCGTAGCCTCAGCACGACAGTGAAGTTAAGGCCCAGGTAATAATCACAAGGACAACCAGAAGGCACGTTTTAGGTGCTTATGGTGATAATACGACTTTCCTTGCTTGTTGTTGTCACATACTGTCACATTTGTGAATGCCTAACGGCAACTTTTTACGTGCTTATGATGATATTAATAAGCAAGACGATTTGCCTTATTTATTACTGTCACATTATAATAATAAGCAAGTATGCTAACGGCAAATAACTGGTAACAAGAAATGGTAATAACAACTAACAAGTAATGATAACTGTCACATCTGAGAATGTCTAGAGCAACCTTATAAGCAAGGCTTATAACTGTCACATTAGGGAATGCCTAACGACAACTTTTTAGGTGCTTATAAGCGCCTTGTTCATTACTCTTACATCCGTGAAAGTTACTGTGTGTTGTTACTGTATGCCTGTTGCTGAGTTTGTGAAGATGGATGAGCTACACGGTATGAATACCGTCAAAATGGTATTCATACCACGTAGCTCAACTGAAGATGGCCTCCTTTATTTTCCTTCCTTGTAAGTTTTGCTCATAAGCTAAAACTTCAATGTGCGTATTCATAATTTCCCTTTTGTGTTTCCTTTCATATGTAACGACTACGGTTTTTCCCCCGTTTATCTGCTAGATGTTGTTTACGTCGTAACATAAGTGGTTCAACGGTCTCACCCATGTAAAAAGATGAGCATTCACACATTATTTTGAACATCGTTCCTTTTGCTGTGCATGTTCTGTTGACGTTCCTGCAGATCTTGCATTCGTTCTCCACACATCTTCTCTCATACAAGCATGCCTTTGTGAGTTGCATTTTCAGCGATAGTGGTGGTATTGCAACTACCTTGACATTAATCTTCCACTCTGCGATTGTTTTCCAAACCTCAACGATGAAATTGTCCGTGACGAATGGTATTTTGAAGACGGGAAGATCTTTTATACAAAAAAATCCTGATTTAAAAAATTCAATGTTGCTCACTTGGTACACTGTAGTCCACTGTAGGCCACGCAATACGCTAGCCTGCTTACGCTCTAGCCTCCCATAGGAGAGAAATGTGCCATAATAACATTGCGAATAGAGCTGCGATTAATGCCACCTTTAAAAGTCGATTTTGACAGTAGTGACCTGACAGTAATGAATGACTATTGCATCTCCCATATGAACATCTCGCCGCTCTAGTTGCATTTAGAATGGATGAGAAATTGCAACGGGATCATTCTCAGGCTGGTATATTGCTGAAGTATCTGATGTAATGTGCCTCTGATATGAGCAAAAGTACGGAATTGGATGAGATTCGATTATCGAGGGTTGATAGTAGTAGTAACAATTACAACAGTAACAATGGTGTAAACAGTGGTATAGCCATAGGGAGCACTAGATTACAATACCCATCGATTCATCTAACTGCACGTGGTCGATTTGCATGTCTCGCTCTTCTTCTAAACCTGCTATAAGTTTAAGCACTGGGACTAAACCCGAACTTAAATCTGAAGATGAGCCTTAGTTCAAGCCTAAGTTGCAACCCGCATCAGCCAAAATCAAAAAGATCGGTTTTATGTACCAGCATAGGCGAACTCAGCCGTGAGTGCATTTTGGCTCCTGTCACCAGAGCCGTTTGTTTTTTTTGAGACCAAACCAGTGCTCGGAAGGGGGTCGCCCCTTGTGGGGGAGGGCGCCGTCATGACGATTTTTGAATGATCATCTTCTGAACGGATGCAGAGGAATTCCTCGTCATAGCGAGTGCAACTGCGGCAGGTTTCGACCCATGTTCTTACCTTGAGGAACAAAGTTTTTAAAGATTTCTGAAATACTTTCTCGAACAAGTAAGCACGGATTACTTTAAGCCGTGATAGAGAGTATAGACTGTTCGTTACCAGTAGGTGAAACTTCATCGAAAAAACTGATTGCTAAACTATTGTCACGTACTGTTTGGAGTAGTGTGTGCAATTAAATGGACTGATGTGCTTAGATTGTGAATTGGATTGGAAGACCAGTGCTCACTGTGTGGTTTACAAAATCAAGATCAGTGATACTCAAATTTTTAAAAATTGACTTAGCTGCGGCTTCAGAATTTTAAAATGTTGGCTCAAACTCCAGATGCAGCTCCGCGTTTGGAAAATTCCCGGAGTTCCTCTGTCTCTTGCCTTGCATTTTTGAATTTTCAACACCAGGTTCGGGTCCGTTGTTTTGAAATTTAACTCATCTGTTTGTCATCGATCTATTCTATTGTATCATTTTGGAAATCAGTTGGAAGATTCCCACAGACACTTTGGCATGAATGATTTCCCTAGCAATTTCTGATTTGAAAGCATGCGTCAAACTGATTCATAGCAAAGATTATTTGCAACATTTATAAGAAACATGAAAAAGTTGAACGCGATTATGATAACGATCATTTATTAATTCAGTACATAAAAACAGTATTGTCAACAGGCATTTGCTTTTCAGCTCGTGGTCGACGACTCTTATCGGCTGTAAGAAACATCAGAATACTGGGTATTAGCAAGATACATATCGCTGCCACTTCCAAATAGAATGAGAATCCCAATCTGAAATTGTAGCAATAAAACAGCCTTATTTTGTTAGAAACACAATTATGATTTCGAATTGTCATATCTGATTATTTCATGTAATTTATTGATGGCTTATGCTTCGAGTTGTATTGATTTTGAACGTTATAAATTCAACTCGACTTGAATTCCGAGTAAAAACTGAATCTTCAAATAGCTAGATGATAAAACGTCCTTAAAAAAACAGAATGATCATACCCTAATCCTAAAACAGAATAATAATACTCTATTTCTACAAGTCGTTCACCTTCTAAGATCCATATGTATAATTTAAAGAAAAACAGAAACCGTTATTCAGACGACTGCATTCATCGTTTATTATCTGCACTACTCTACTGTTGGCAGCTATGCATTGCTTCATTTATTCTTATATGAAAACCCTTCACGTAAGCTTATTAACTTTCTATTCCTATGGGAAAATAGGAAACTCATTTTTTCGATAATTTTTCATTGCGAGTGATCTGATTAATTTTTTTATTGAGATGAAATCGAAAGGCAAAGAAGACGAAAGGGGTTGAAAAACAAAAAATAAATAATCAAAATTCACTTGGTTTGATTGAGCGATGAGAATCCGCTTTCGATCTGATCAGCTAGCAGAACATTGTGTTTAATCGACACAGCATATTGAACCAGAAAGATAACCATTGAACAACCATAAGAAATCACTGCAATAGAACAATATTCTGCCGGTATAATGTGATATTGAGAAATAAAAATATGATTAGAAGAGAAATTCGGATAAGCTGAATGAGGATCATGCACGATTCTGGACAGTAATTATTGAAGCGAAGGGAACACATCTGAATGAGTACGGAATGTGATAAGCAGTTCAAATTGAATATCTATGTTTTTGAATTTCATTATGCTCACTGACTAACAGAATAAATTCAGATATGATTCTAATTCACACAGCTTCAATTACATCCAAAAATTTCCGCTTCGTTTATTCGACTTTTATCGAAAACATTCGATTTCTATCAGTTTTCGTTTTAGACAGCATGCAAAATTCATTTTAAGGCTCACGTTTATGTTTAGGCATGTGTTTATGTTTACGGTTAGGCTTGGACGGATAAGACCAAAACTGGTTTAGATTCTACAGGAGCATCGCCATCATTTTTTCAGCCCTTAAAAACTGAACTAGGAAACTATGTTATAGCAAGTGCATTTCAATGCATAGATCAATTGGGGCCAACCAGTAAAGACCAAAATGAAAGATATGCTCTCGTGAAGAGCAAATTCAGGAGGTCAGCGAAAGAGACTGGAAACATTAGCAAATTATCGTTGATTCTTTGTATTAGTATTTCTTCTATAATTGCTCAGTAATGTTTTCAAACTGCTTGTTTGGCACAACGAAGTGACCAGTTTGACACCATCGAAAAATTGCTGTCATCAACTTCCTTGTTTGTTAAACCAATTTTCTGGTTATCTTCTCATATGGCATTTACAACTAGAAGATTATCAAAATAGAGGAGACAAAGAATGTTGCAGGAAGGAGGTGGAGGTGGAATGACAGTCTATCATATGGCCAATGGGAGACAGCATGCGAACCGCATTTAGAGGGAACATGAATCAACAATTCCCTCATGATGGGCACGCAATGAATAAGTCGCTAGTTAATGTAAAGTAGACTGAATTGAGTAATAAACTTAAAGGGAAGTGTATTTTACGGGTGAATTGGCTAAAACTGATAACTTGAAAAGCAAAGAAGGTACTGTAACCTACACGCTAGCATACTCCACAGGTAGATTCCAATGGGACCCGCAACGGTATCATTCTCCTTAACAACTGTATTGACTAAGCAGATTATGATGCCAACCACATTCCACAGCAATCCTAACGCAATAAAAAATATCGTGAAAACCCATGGTGTTTTCGCCATGAGTCCATAACCTTCATGAATTTCTTCATAAACTGCAAATGCGTAGATGAGATGAGTTGCGAAACAAAAAGTAGATGCACTTTTATTTAAAATAGATGTGCACTTTTATTGGACTTAAATTATTGAAGTTAGTTTGATAAAAATCAAGAAAATCGAATTCCTGCTCTGAAATGCCAATTGGAACGTTTAGCGGAAAATGCCAATATGTCGTAATGCACGAAGTGAAATAATTAATGACCGAACTTGCACGATCAAATTTAACTTTTAAATTGACCTCTCTAGAAATCTGCTAATTCGCATTTGGCAAACAATGTTCACTGAACCAAATATTGGAACATTTCAATGGAAAACAAAAATGAGACCACCTGAGAAAGCTTTATAACGTGGACCTAATCCCCAATCCAACTGACGAGATCCTTTGAATAATCCGGAATGAACAAAGTTGTTCTTATTAATGCCTCGTTTATCATTTATTGGTGTACTCTCGAACCAATACTGACTCAACAAAGATGCAGTAATAAGTGAAAGTGCGCAAACGAACATCAGCAGTGATGTGAATATTGAAAGTCGTTGATAACTATTCATTTCAGTTCGAATTGATCATTGAATTTATTGCCTGTAAATGAAAATTTCGTGATTTATTTTATTTATTGTTATAATTTATTTATTCTTATAGTTCACCTAACATCACTGATATTTACGTTTCTTCTCAAAACGAATCTGATACAAATGAATAATAAATTAAAGCCTAATCTTCAGTGGTTGTGCGTGACAGTTGCGAAGAATGACCGTACAGGAACTACATTGATTATATGCATGAAGGTACAGTACTGATTTGAGGTTGGAAATTCATTCTTAGAAACTTGTTACAAAATATATCATTTAAGGGCTGCACGTAGGATACTAAATCTAGTGACAGCGATAAATTTAATAATTATTGCATAAAAGTAAATGAACGCACTCCATTTCAGATATCATCAAGAAATTGCACAAGAACTGCAATTGGGAAAAAGAGAATGACGGGCGTGTGTACTAATTGTATGCGATTTGTATGCATCGAAGAATGGGTGCGTCACATCGCATCAAAGGTCTTTACCCTCATTTATCAATCATCGTTTTATTTCATCCCTTCATTCGCATCATATTTATGTAATCTGTCCATTGCATTTTTCGCATACAAGTAAGGACACTGAAAACGTATTAAATACATTTGATTTTATACGTACCGATGAATATTAGCTATAGGTTCATATTTTGTACCTAAATGCTTATAAAACACTGATTTAATGTAGTTGAATTCTTATATGAGACCTGACATCCTATCAATGGACAAGGAACACAATTTCGCTATAAGTCAGTAAATCACTCGAAAACGTAATTGTGACATCGATCACATATGAGTTTCAATACTTAGAGCACTTGTTATACTAATAAAAGTATTATTAGTTGAGATGTTCATTTTTACGTCGTTAGGTAATTAATTCATTTATTGAACGCATCGAAAAATTATTCAATAAGCAATAACACATTTCAATGGCACATCAGAGATTAGAAACAATTGAAATTCGTCACAAAAGCAGTTAAAACGCAAAATTCGTATTAAGAAGTTTTTTGAAAACAAAAACTGGACAACAACACAATGGCAGTTTATTCGGCAGTGCTTATGGGATAATGCGCAGCAACACGTTCAGTCTGAATAAGAGCGAAGAGCAACAATGACCATGGTTCCCGAAATGCGGATCAAACGAAATTTCATTGTCGAGAAATGGTTGCATGAATACTAATCATAAAATAACATCCATATTTACTTTAGAGTGCTTCCGTTTGTAGTAGATAAATCTGTAGTCTTTACATTTCACGCAGCCTTCTGGTGATTCACGTACATTCATAGAATGCATGAATTCAAGCCTACTTCTCAGAACAACTTGCTTCTTGGATTCTTTCATCGTCCGATGAGTCGCATAAGCTAGCTGGTTCTCAACATGGGTCATGATTATTAAAAATTAGGGAACCATATACATAGGACCAGTTATAAACAGCCTTGCACAGTGAAGAAGGAAAATATAATAATTTGATAAGCAGTCGTGTTCATCGAAACTCAATTGCATGATAATTCTGGAAGATTGTTGCATTGGCAAACCACTTCCAACCAATCAAAAATTAACGACGTTCAAGAGCAATAACTCAGCATGCATTAAACTAGACGAATTTTTTCGCTAAAAATTCATGTTAATTCTGAGAAAATGTTCAGCAGTTATTATCTGCTTTTATCTGCTTTTTATCTGCATTCTCAGTTTTGCCTTTTTTTCAGAAGAAAAGCAAGATTGCAAAACTGTTGCTGAAACACTGGCAACACTAGCAGCGATATACAAAGCAATAAAAAATTATATGAGTTGCCACATAATTAACGCTCGCGAGGTTTTTCAAACTGCCAACGAGTGAGTTGAATTGTCCGTCCCGTTCCACATGCGGTTACAGTACGGTGTACGTCGTGTTGATTATAGGGACGTTTTTCGATTCACTGATATTAATTAGCAAACTGCGTTTGGTCTGTAAAATTCATCACTGCAAAGTATTCTTAAAGTAATTTTATGATCGCATCAGATGCATTGTCTTTCGATAAATCTAGGATACATCTTACATTAGGTCGCTTATTACTGCTTGTGGTAGATGAAATAGTTAACTACATGGTTCCGATTTCCTATCTGATAAAGCCGCAACAAGCGTGTAAACGACCACCCATTTTTAGGAAGGATGAACACATGTTATAGGCAAATGAATAGAAGGATCATTTCCACAAATCACTAGCATTAATCATATATGCTCGAAAAGATAAATTTGATAGCATATTTCCTATTAATGTTTCAAATAATACGTTTTTTCAGTTAATTTCCACAAAACTTAATTACTGACGCCAATTAAAACTTGTCGATATTTACATCTTTGCGAAAAACCGTAATACGAATTCAAAGTATCAAATAACTAGTCAATTTGTTCAAATTATGCATCTTTTTTATTCAGAATTATCGAATAATACTTACTGCTGAGCAAACGACAAATATCTTAAATTTTCATTCATTAAAACGACCTTCATTTTGAGAAGGAAGTTACTGTCTCTGATGAAAGTCGAGTTTTTTGAAAAGCATCACAAAAAGAAAACAATCTTCTGACTGATAATTATTCCCAATCAAAGAAAGTAATAAAACAAAAGTCGAACCAATTGTAATTGATACCACTTTTGAGCGATGAAACAAAACTAATGAACGAGTACAGCTGTAGATGTTTTGATGAAGAAAATTGAGTTGATGAATGGAGTTAAACGAGCGCGTCTTTAGCATTTTTTTGAGTTGTGAACGTAAGATGCGACTGATCATAGCCTCTTTCGATGATTCCTCTTTGACGGTCACTTTTTTGAAAGAATCGTTCTTGTGACGTGGATCGTTGTCTCATTGGATAAACCAGTGATCCTCGTTGTTGTCCTCTATCATCTTTCCCGAATGAATAGTCATTTGCATTATACGCTGATGTCATGTCCTCGTATCTGTTGATCGCATCCGAATGACTTGAAGCAAGTCTATTTTGTGAATACGATTCCTTTTGCTGTTCCTGTGTTTCTTGAGTTTGTCGATAATGCTGAATAGCTGCTTGGTTTTGACGTCGTCTATCCTCAGTGGAGTGTTGCCAATGCTGTTCACTTTCATTGATTGCTGTTGAATCGATGATATTATCAGTGCTATTCAATACCTTCGTATTGGCAATACCACGTTGTGCATCTTGACTCAGTGACGATCTATTGTGTTGTCGTATCATTAAGGCATTCCTTGAGTGACTGGCATTCGATTGAGCACTTTCTGATGGTGATTCAGATGGTGTTCGATAGATTATTCGCTTTTTGGCTCGATCCTCGCTGCTGATCGTCTTTGGTCTCGTTGCTGTTGATGATGGTAATATGGACACTTCACCATCTTTTCTTACTATTGCTTCTTGTTTCTGCTGCTGCTCAACATGTTGACTTGTTGCTGCTGTTGTTTTCTTGCGTAATTTGTCTTTACAACAAAATAACAACAATGGTATGAGTAGCAGGCAAAGAAGCAATAAGAGTGCAAGTGCGATCAGAAGCCATATCCACCATGGCCACTCAGAAACACTAAGTGTAAGAGCAGATGAAGGAATTAAATTGACGTTTATCACATGCTGTTGGAAGTGCTTTATAAAAGGCCACACATTCCGTTCACAAGCTCTCTGCAATAATGAGGAGTTAATGATCTTGATCGCTTTATTAGTGTATTTGATGAATCCCTAACATGTGACTCAGCTGAAATTAAAACTGCTTAGATTGATGAACGTTCTGACTGATACGGATATCATTTACGTGAGCGGTTTTCAATCTCGTTTCGTCAATCGCCCACTTTTGTTATGATCACAGCGAAATCGCCTCATTTTTGATCTTTGTCCGGTGAATAAGTACTTTCAAGACAGAGGGAAGAACACTGCGATACTTGAAGTTATTTGATAGACCTTCAAGTTATTGTCAACAACACTGTTTTCTGGCCAAAATCATTTCTCTGCATGCCCTTTTCGCTCAGCGATGTGGGCGATATTAGCAACGGTGATGAGCGCTAATCTAAACTTCCAAAAAAGTCATTCTTTTAGGAGGGCAAAGCTGTTGAAATCAACATTTTTGATATGTGATCACTCGAATGAAGCATACCTCAGCACATCCACAACACTGAATCACTCTAAAGCGGCATGCAATATTGTCCAGTGGTTCTGGCGCATAGAAGTGTACAACAGTTCTTTTAGCAGCACCTGCGTATTGGTATTGATCAGTTTCCCATTTTCTTTGAAAATATTTATCACAAACGAGGCAACTGAAATATTTTTCATCCAAGTTATTATCAACGACGCTTGAACATTGCTTTTCAAAAAGCCTAACGCTTACATAAAATGAACCTTTTCTATAGTTGATCTATAAGACGTTTGTGATAAGCATTTTGTCTTAAAATTCGATGCGATCCTCTGTACTGCGAAATTCTGTCATACAAAATAACACATCTATTTGTGACATATTTCATCTTATCTCAACACAGTAGTATTACAGTGTAAACGCTGAGATCAATAAAAGTTCCGCAGAAAATTCCCTTTCAAATTCCAATTAGTTCAGCTTTCTAATTATCGATTCATTCGTATCATTCTTGTATGAAATATCATTCATCGATATTCGATAGTTCCTGTGGAATTTGTTTTATAATTTAAGAATTATTTGGAAGATGAATCAATGGTTTTTTTTTCTGAAATAAATATTCACAAATTCCGACTATATTCTATCTGCAATTCAGGAATAACATTATCATGTAGTGAGTGGATCCTGGAGAAAGAAATGAATTTCGAAAATGCAATCGTTTTCTCAACTTTCCTTTCGTCATACGATGCGATGTTTGAGCCAGAAAAATCAGTGCAATAATGTAGAAAAGTGCGATACCTAGATTATTAAGACAGTACCAAAAGACATCGCTCAGTTAATCGTTTTTGCTAGATCCACTCTTTTTTGGCTCTATCCGTGATAATATTTAAAAATATGATCGATCAAAAATGTACACGAATTATGATGCTGATAAATGCCATATTCAGGGGAAAAAAGCAGATGATTTGTGTTGATTATCGTATTGTATGAATTCGATGCTAAGGTAGTGTTTACTAGAATGTTAAGGAATTGAATGTACAAACATTTGACTAGTATCTAAGCTGATCCAAATGACGTATGATGACGAGTATCGATCAAAAATTACTTCTTTGGTTGAAATTTTATGGATTGTTTTCATGAGAATTTCTAACCTTTTTTTTTTCATAATTTGTAATCAATCTGACGTGAACATTTAATTGCCAGCTTTTAATGATGTCATTTATTCACTGTTAAGAAGAGGCCAATTCTGTTCTCTCAGATCACAAAAGAGCTGATAATTTCAATCTCTGCTAATCAAAACTAAACAAAAAAAAATTCCGCAACTTCCTAGAAACAAAAAAATAGCCATTTAAAAGATTCTCTTGATTGTTAAAGATGCATACATCTAAATCACTTACCTGTCACTATTGATGAAATTGTACTTGTTATTGTAACTGCATTCTTCGATTAGATAGTCAAACTTATCTGTTTGATCCATCGAAATATCTAAACTATATTGTTGACCACCCACCACATCTATTCGTTGAACTGTAAACAAAATATTCCATTAACAACTTGTTCGAATTCAATCAGAGACGATTTGTTATGGCTCACTAACACTGAAAAGTTCGCTGAAAGTTTTTTGTTGGTTTCCTTCCAACTGAACGTAAGAAACGGTTTTGATGGTATTTTGAACTGGTTCATTGCTAATGATTCGGAGTTATCCTATTGAGTAAGCAGAAATTCAGTTGCCTTCTCGTTTGAATTTTCTGCGGAAAGATTTTCTCAGAATTCTTATTATTGGCAATACAATGGCATAAAGCAATGGTGATATCAAGAAAATATCAGCACTTGGTACGAACGAGATATATGCATACCATAGTCATTTGGAAAGGAATATATATCAGTGAATCCTCGATGAAGCGTCATTTTCGGCTCGATATCGCATATACATTGTGATATGAGCAATATAAGAAAATATACAGTTTGAGTTGTATTGATAAACATGATAGCGGTTGTACAAATGAAATGAATAAACATATTCTAAGCAATCCAATTTATAACCACTCTTCGAAAGGTGGCTTTTCATTTGCACGAGTAGTACATACCCCACCTTTATGCTATTATGATATTCATTTCTTATATTATTGTATAATATTATCGTTCGTGCATGTACCTTTCATCGCTATTCTTTTCGCTTCTTTTATATTTTCGTTTAAACCGATAATTCATCACATTAATCAAACAAGAAAATATTTTTAGTCATCTCATTTCATAAACCATTCTTGACTTGTAGTCGCTCTTTATTCATCATAGTATTCTTTTCTTACAAGCAAGCGTCTCCTACTGCGAAAACACCAATCCGACAAATAGTCATGTTCTTCCATCGATTCACATGCTCCTCTGTTCTGAGCTCCATTGAAATTTTAGTGTGCACATTTCACTGCGATATACTTGGTTATAACAACAAAATGTTGTGCTGCATTAAACTAATACTGAATTGATACTACACTATGTAACGGCTATGTTTAAAGCATATCGCTGCTGCTTCACCATTCAGATATCAACTACCCTATTCAGATCACCGATCGTAAGCGAAGCATTTGGCTGAATGCTCACTGAGAAAGTGCACTCAAATATCAAGCTCTAGTTCTTGCAATGCACTCTAAGAAAAAGATTATATCCAAACTTCTGAAATTTATGCAAATTATAGAACAACTTTTTCAGAGTGCGTATTGTTGAAACGAAATATCCAAATTGAAGACAAATTTGCTTGGTGAAATTAGACAGTATGGCGAATAAAAGCATGAATGAATTGAATGTTAAGAGAGTGATGGCCTCAGCTTATGCGTGACTCATTAACTGATATGAGTGAGTTGTTGATTGGGTAATACTTCAGTATCTGGTATTACACATTCTGACTTCAAGTTCCATTTATTATTATTTCAAAATGTGGAACATTTTGAATTTAACATGCTTTTGCTGACCGCACCTTTTCTTTAACTGTTAATCATTAAAAAATATGTCAGAACTATGCGAACTCTTCTGTGATGAATTAAGAGTGCAATATCTTTTTCAACTAACGAATTTTTTATATTGAACTTTTTGACGAACTATATTTTCAGCTAAGTTTTTTTTACTTTTCGGGTGGTGAATTCAATTTATTTCGACTGATTCTGACAAACAGTCCGAGAATGTGTCTGTTACACTGAATGTGTTACTCTCCGCTTATTTTTCTTGCAAAAAGAACACATCTTTAGCATTCTACATACGTGAAATGTTTATTTCGTGTTTCTTTCCCCATAAGCGTCGTTGAATCAGCAAGCAAGTATTTTCATTCTCACTGCATAGTTGAACTTTTATTCGTATTGTGTACATGAAGGAAACAAGATGAAAGGCCTGGAATGATTCATGAATAATGCTTGTTTAAAATAGTTGATGGCTTTGAATCAAATCATTACGATTTATTCCTCATTTCGTGTGTATACGATTCGATGGTTTCATAATTACCGCATGATAAAAGAATTTATAATGAACTTGTCGTATTGGTGTATTCAAGGCCGTCTTTTAGTGGACATTCAGCGCTAACTAGAGCGTATGACTCATTTGAAACATAATTATCCTCCTTTCATTATCCTGACAGTTTTGTTTTCAAATCTCATTTGTGCACCTATTCTTCTGAAGGAAAAGAGCTAAACTGAATATATGCTCATCTAAACTTGAACCAATGAGAAGATGTTTTTTTGCCCTAATTTACATTGAAAATTGAATCAACACATTTGTTTAATTGATAACAAGTTTTTATGAATGTTATGAGTAAGTAGATGAATTATTGATGGAAGCATTTCAATTCAAATTATGTCGACTAGGCAGTACAGCTGTCAAATTCAGCGTTCAAAATAAGCATCAAAAATTGCAAATTGCAGCAAACATTGCTAATGAAAGTAACAATTCCTCTTCGTTAACCGTTAATGATGCAGAGTTTTTGGGGTACGCTAAAGGTGTCCATTGCGGTGATCGTTTGAGAACGCCTGAAATGTGAGCATTTGAAAAGAATTCTGAATTTAGAAGTATGCGGTCGCTCCAGCTGAGACCGTAATGTAAAAATCGATGCAAAAGTCAAAGCTGTTTGGGACACACAGAGGCTTCAGTCAAGATGGATTTTTTCTCGACAGACATTTTCAAATGAAAATTCTTTTATAATACGATTCCCAAAGAAATCGTTTTTTTTTTGCGGCAAAACAGTCTTATGTATGCATCTCTCAAATATTCTTTGGCAAAAGACTAAAAATATTTATAAATACTTAAATGCTGCAAAAAAATATTATTAATCATCACAGAATTCCCTCCTGTTTGCAGCAATTATTAGAAGGTTGATTCATTTTTGTGAACCAAACGTTATTGCGTTTCTGAAGTTAAGCGAAACTTAGAGGTATCATATCATAAGCATTTAATACTTGTGCTGAACGATGCTGTTCCACAATTCAGTACTTAATCATTATAGATGAACGGACGGTATTTGATCTGTATTTGGTAAAATATGCAATGAACATTAGGATCAGTTATTCAAAGGGTAGAGGTCATTCAGTTGCGCAGTTTTATTGCATACAATTGCCGTGTAGAAAGTCATTGGCTATGGTCATTCTTTGTTGAATGTTGCAATTTGAAAGTTGTTAGTCCGCTATGTTCTTTCACTAAACGAAAGCACATCATATTGTGAATTTGGTTCTAAATGAGAATCTTTCGAAGAAATCCCCCATAACAAATAAATATTTAAGTGTGGGCTGGGTTAGACTAAAACTCAAATACGGCTGGGATTAGTAACTTCGAAAACGCCAAGTAAGAACTAATTATCAATGCTTTTTCATTTGCAATTGTGTTAGACGAAGCAGAAGTTATAAAAACTTAACGAAAGTGCTTCATTGCTAGTGAATGGAATGGAGGAACACAAAGTTAATCGTCATGATCAAAATGAACTGAACGCAATTTCTCGTTGTCTGATTGTTTTTCTGTAGTAGAACTTTCTCCCTTCTAAGAAATTCTGTAATAGAAAAACGGCAGGAGAATGTTTAGCAACGATGAAGTTATGAAATTGGAAAATTAACTCATTAGGTACCGCGCTCTCACTGTGTCCAAGAAAAAGAATCACATGTTTCAGCATGCTTAATGTTCAGAATGAGTGCGAATATGAACGAATCATAAAGCTTAGATGACGTGACAAGCTAAATCATATTATAGTTTTGAAATTATATTACAAGATGTGTTAATTAAATTTATAACACGAAATATCGATCAAATGAAATGTCCACTATATATATA